AAAAAAAAGGGTTTGATGTGAAAATGCTTACCTTGAGCTCTGTGTGGGACTTGTTTTTAGAGAAACCTGACCTAGGAAGGGACACACACACACACACACACACATACACAGCCACAAATGGAGAAGCTAAAAATGTCATGCCATCGTCACGGGTGGATTTGGGGGAGAAAGAAATCATTCCAGGCAGTAGCACTAACTCACCGCTTTGTAAAATCCAATTTGTAAAAGCTAAAAAGAAACAAAAAAATCGTACATAAGTTCATTTATTTCGGCTAGGAACTGTATTGAGCTCCAACAACTTTCTAATCCCCAATTCCACCCCTGGCCACACCAGAACAACACGTCACCAATGACCCACTGAGGGCATCACTCACACACTGACCTCTACGATCAGCTGCCATAAGAAAGCAAATGGAAAAGCGCTTGATGACCACTCTCTTCTTCATCAGAGCAGCCGAGTGCAGAACTTAAAGGTAAATAGTCGCTCCACTGGTCTGGTGTGTTATGTGTGTATAAGCTTATGAATAAACGCAGGAGCATGTTTGACACATGAGCTAGTAAGCACTGTGGATGCACCTTACGGGACAAAAAGGGAAATGCTTACAATTTGTCACTTGTGCTACTTCACAGCAAACTTATGGTTCATGCTCGTTAGGCTCCATATTCAAAATATATTCCATTTACTGGCTCACCTAGGCTGCCTTCTGAAAGTTCACCAATGTGGTATAATATCTGTAAATCTGCATCTCTCGGTATTTTCAAACGCCTTCGTAGGAATGACTACAGCTGAGACTGACCTCGACTCATCAAACTTGACTTCTCAAGACAAGCTATGAGAAGCAACAACCTGCACAGTGGTCATCAAGACACCAGATGGCGTGACAGGCGACGGATAACACACATTCAAAACCTAAGAGGGCACCACGACCTCACCACTGGGGACACCCATCCTTACCTAAGCCTGTTGTGCCATTGGCAAGAAAAGAAACGGAATATGTGTCAAAGGTGACAATGTGCCAAAACATACCCAAAGCAACTCCACATTATCATCATTTTTAGGCCACTTGATTTGTTTTTTCTAGTGTGATATATGTCTTTCACATCTTTAACGTTTCTTTAATGAGACTCATAGTCAACAGAGACTTCTGACACTGAACGTGGGCATGAAGTGTGTGATTTTGGCCTACCTGCCTGCTGCTGCTGCTGCTGCTCCTCCATCGGTTGAATCCTGGCTCCCCGTCTCACTGGGTGTGCTCACTGATTTGGAGGGTGACACAGGGGTCGGGACTAAATAATGAAAAAAACATGAATCTAACATTAAAGGCTGCAAAGAATGGACTGCTCAAAAGAAATTGGATGAATTGCAACAAAGTAAAACCGGTGATGGACAAATTAAATAAATGTTAAAGAAGAAAGGAGAGGAAGGGCAGAGCATCAAACGCATTGTTGATTCGTGTGACACATTTGTACTTCTTCTGAAGATGCATTATAAATAACCTAATAAGCTAATAACAGGTCATCTTAGGTCTGCTCAAGGTCTGCTTGGTGAGTCTAATCATTAAAGGGTTCATCCGAGATTTTTTGGGCTGTAATTAATGAGGTTTGGTGTAGTTTCAGAAGCATCAAGCTAACTTTTACTGGAGTTATTGTGACAATTAACTAAACATTTTGCAGTACAATCAAAAGAGAAAAGTGAAAGAACCTTGAAGGATCCATTAACTGTGTGGGGTGTGCGGGTTACGGTACCTAGTGGAGGCTCCGGTGAGATGCCAATACTCTGTAGCAGGGCCTCGGTCTCCCTGCGCTTTCGGTCCAAGTCTGAGTCCTCTGGGGCGGCCTCTCTCTTCTGCTGGCTCTCTGACTGCTCAGGATACACAGAAAAACATTAGCTCACTCGCCATGACCTAAAGGACAAGCAAACACGTGCATGCTCATTTTTGATAAAAAAAAATGTCCAATAACCAACCTTCTGCACACACGTAGATGATTGTACGCACGTATGGACACACACAACCTCAGCCTTTTACGTGTCACGGCCTGACAAAAAGCAATCGAACACACAGGCAACACACACACCAGAGTGCCATACAGTATGAGTGCCAGTTGTGTGAAGTTACTCACTTTTTTCCTTACCTCTTTCTTCTTCCTCTCCTCCTCCTTGATCTTTTTCTCCTGTCTGATTTGGGCGAGGCGCTGCTTCTTGCGCTCCAGCTCTGCTTTTAAGTCACTTTTGTCCGACATGGTGTCCTTCAACAGAGAGAGAGGAACGGGCAGGAATGAGCTTTGGCGTGGCGCTGTCACAATATGCTCAGGTTTCATTATATAACGTGATACAGTGTGAAGGAGTATACGTTCATCAAGTGAGCCTCAGCGATGATACAGAAAACACACCGGGCGTGGCAGTTATACATCCATCAGTACAGTAGATCCATAACTTTGCTGGCTCAGCAAACCACAACGAACTTCATATTGGGCCGAGAGGGATTTCCACATTGGTGTGACAATAATACCTTTTCTCTTATTATATACTGGAACTAGTCCAGTGTGTGCAGGCTATATTTAGACAGCCACTTATTTTACCTTAATCAAAATAAACAGAGTACTCTAAATAACTCAACAAACCTTTTAATGTGCATCAAAATACTCTGTGATTCATAGGACCTCTATTGCCACATTTCTCGTTTTGGTACATACAGGATATACTAGTTCGATACATTTGATCAAAAACTACCTAAATGTAGCCTTACGGTAGTCAGGATGTTGAAAAGGCTCCCTGAGAATGCTGTGATTTATTACAGTAAGGTGGGCTGCACATCTGTATCAGTCTGCACATCTGCATCAGTCTGCACCGACCCTCACCAGGGATTTAGCACATGTGTAGACGACACTTGACCCTGGAGGTTTAACAACGTCTGCTAAAGCTATTTGGTACAATTAATAAGAAAATAACTAAAAAGGTACAGTATATAACCATGACAGAAAACACAAATGACATCATTAAATCATTAAACAGGCATGTTGAAGTACTTATATTGGCAGGGGAATATGCACTCGCAGCCAGCTAATCACAAATTAAGACATTTAAACTGCGTTTAAGGCCTTCCCTAAAAATACTGTGGGTTCAGATAGCGAGCAATTAACATAAAGGGGACAATTCTCCTCGCGAATGACCGTATGACGCACTGTTCTTGTAACACTCGTACCTTGTCCACTCGTGCAGATAATGATGTGTCACCCGGCAAAAGATGCTGTCTCACTGCTGCACCCCGAAAGAAAGAGATACAAATCAACACACAGTCTACCAAACGTGAAGTCACAGTGAATCGAGGCCTGTCGGGAACCACCGGAGAGGTCGTTTGAACCGTTTCGTGTGGCTATTGATGGCACCGGTCAAAGCACAGCATCTTAGCGGTTGATGACCCATATAATACACAAAACAGGTGCACCGCACGCCGACACATCCCTAGGAAGAGTAGGAAGATAAGGAGGAGGAGAGGCAATCCCACCTCCTCTGACACGCACTGTCATCGTCTGGTGGCTTTTGCAATGTCGCCATCTTCTGGCCGTTTGGAGAAGTGCGTTGGAATACCAAAAACAAACAGACACATGCTTGACACTCTTTAAAAATACCGTCTTTTATTCTTTTTTTTAGACAAGTAAAGTGGCTCGTGGTTGAACACTTTGCGAGTATTAGATAGCGTAATTTATATGTTGGCTAGAGCAGCGTTACGGTCATTGCATTTTGCAACGGTTGGTCCAAATGTGTCTCTGCTGAAGAAAATCCGTGTGCGATCAGAAATGTGCTTTTATAAGCGGACTTATTTCATTTACAAGAACGTAAAACACTCGACACGTTTTTTGAGTGGATCGTCGATAGGTGATGCTGTAATAAAAGCTTTTGTTTTGTTACAGCACTACGGATACTACTTCTTCTTCTACTACTGCTTTTTCTTCTTCGTTAGTGTTTATTGGCGGTTCGGCAACCCAGCCTAGAGGCGCATTACCGCCCCCAACTGTACTGGAGTGTAAAATAAATTAAAATTAGAAAAAATAAATAAAACATAATACACACCCACACTAATATATATATATATATATATATTTATATTTATATTTCACAGTATATCTTGCCTGCTGTTTTTTCCCAAGAAAATATTTGTGTGCATGCATGTAAACAGTCAGTGTATAGCTGAAGATATTCATTCATTTTGCACTAAAGATCTTAACTAAATGAGAAAACACTGAGCACGTTTCATTCGTCAAGTATTCATACAGGAGTATACAAAATAGGGCCTTATGATGTAGTATTTATTATTTATTTATTTATTACTCTTAATCTCCATCTTGTACATTTATGAGGAATATTTAATTAATGATGTCAGTTTAATTGATGATGCCAGATCTTGTACATGCTTAGTGCTTAAAAGCTGACAGATGCAATAGCAGCATTATTTATTTCCCTTTATTATCCACTGAAGAGCCAACAATATTGCCGATAGCTCTGTATTATATACTCACAAATGCTTTGATACTCTTTTCTTAATATATGACTCACTCATTGAGGTACGTACTGCTGCAGCTGCACACCTTGCTTCAGGATCCTGTTCCATCTGTGAATACAAACACAGATTCTAAAAAGTGCTGATCCAAATAGTTCTGGACTATGGGCCATACTGGAAGCCGATCTGACTTGTCCTTCAATTCCTGCTGTATGTTGAGGTCTTAGCTTGACAAGAGGAACAGCCAGAGAGGAATGGAAAAAAGATGAAATTGTGGGGCTGTACTGTAATTGACGTAATTCTATACATTCTGCCTTTGCATAAACAATCCACCCCAAACTTTTCTTTTATGTTCCCAGCAGTTTGTTTAAATGCTCTTGGCAGAATGTGTATCATATTGCCTCTGGAGATTAACCCAGTATGCAAGCATTAACTTCACTCTCCTTATCCTCAAAGGCATTTCGCCCATTTTCACCTGCATCGCTCATACTGGAGGTTTTTTAAATGATGCACTATACAAATTTTCAGGGCCAGAACTTGTAATACATAATACATAATACATCTAACTTATTGAGGTTTGATTCTGCTGCTGACATGTTATATGCCCAGTCAAAGACAGATCTCATTGGTGCCGAGTATATATTTTGCAGAGATGCTCAACTTTCTCCTTACTTCTGTCTTGGCAAGCAACAAAGTAGATTGAAGACCTTTTTACAAGAAATCTCATATTTTACTTGCTCAATAGGCTGTTCATACAATTTTAGGAGATGGGTGTGATTTTATGCCATCTTGAGAAACACAGTACTTTTGTTTTTGCTACATTTAATCCCCATTTACTTGCCCATTTTCCTACTTCAACTGTTGCAGCTTGATTTTTCTTATTGACATCAGATGCACTGCGGCCTCTTATCCACAGAGCCCCGTCATCCTTTTGCAAAGATCTTCCTACGCTTTGTTCAACCTGAGAGAAGATGTAATTGATCATTATGTTGGGTAACAATGGACTACATGCACCATGGGCAGTGCCATTTTCCACCATATATACACTGAAACATTCTGCGCCTACTTTTACTTGCATTTCCCTGTCATATAAAAACCCAATATGCTCTACCGCCAATGCCCAATGACTTTCCAGAGCATGCCGTATCTTTCCAAATCAAAAACGTTAGTGATGAAAGCTTTTACTACATTTACATGATCAAATTATGAGGAGTAATTGAAAAATCTTCCTTTAATACATATTCTGTTGTAACTGCTTTTTAACTCTCCAAAACTAAATGGGACCTTCAGCTCTTTGTCTTCCATGCTTTGTTGTCTCTGCCTCTTCTTCGCTCCCATTAAGCTAAATGTCCTGTTTCTGTTGTTCACATTCATTGTTCCTCCATGGCGCTGCCTTTCTCTGTTTTCTCTTAGCGATGGCGGTCGCGTTACCATTGATCTAATACGGACCTTTTATTACTCTCTCCCTTGATTTTCTCCCACTGAAGTGTATTTTTTCATACGACAAGATAATGGTCACTATGGTTCGTGCTTTCCAGTCCCACACTGGTGACAAAATGATTGAAAATCAAATCCGTTCCCGTACAAACATATATCCTTGCCTCTGACTTTCTGTGCTGTGGTTTCAACTTACACTTCCTCCACCACGTGCTCCAAATCCAGGCGCCCATTGGTTGCTTGCAACGTCAATCCCTCCTACCTCCCGCCCAACAACAACAAACAAGCACCAGCGCACCGTTGCCAGTTGCATTTGAAGGGCACACGATCAGCTTGTCGGGAGGCAAGGACGCTGCTCGAGAAACAAAACGAAAACAATGATGGGGAACTCATAGCCAGCATCTGAGACTATGTTCATTTAACGAAGGGGTTCCTGCACGACGCCGAGCTGTAGTCCTGCTGGCTGACGGTCCTCAAAGTGGAGCGATCTGCAGAGAGAAAGAACAGATTGTCCACTAAAACACTGACGGGCTGGAGTCTGTTATTAAAAGACAGGAAAAATGAAGTTTGCTCAGCTTCTGCTGAAAAGCAGCTCCGTCTCAGGGATACCAAAGCAAGTAGAGAGGTTTGCTAAGTTCTCCCCCTCTCCATTGTCTATGAAGCAATTTATTGACTTCGGTAAGTGTTTCGAGGAGTATCGATTCAGTCGGACACTGTTTGCATGTTACATCATTCTTTAGCACACTCACAGGGCAGTTACACAACCCCTTGACAGCTGGTCGTTGACGGATTATTGACCGGTTTGATGCTGTTCCCTCTGCAAAAAAAAAAAAAGAATACACATACTGCTGCTGGTTCCTCCATCCAAGGACAGATCCAGTCCACAAAAACAAATCCTGGATGTCATTTCCATGTTGACATTTAGGAAAGGTTGCTGTGTTATTTATTTGATTGGATGTTTGCTCAGTGTCTCTCTGTCCCCTCACGTGTCTGCAGGCTCGGCCAATGCATGTGAGAAGACCTCTTTTGTGTTCCTGCGGCAGGAGCTTCCTGTCAGACTGGCCAACATCATGAAGGAAATTGATTTCCTCCCCGACAAGCTCCTGGGCACTCCGTCCCTAAAGCTCCTCATCAGCTGGTGGGATAGTTTTAATGTTTCGTAAATAACTCTTCCTGCACATCACGAACAATAGGCTTCAGATGAACTGTAGCATGAGAGTCCTATTGCATGTCTGTTGTTGTTTATTTTTCAGGGTTCCCAGGCTATACCAGGGTAGACGTTGTACTTGTTTCAGCAGGGGATAGTTATGCAACAGTAGTGTCAGCGTTATTGAAGACCTGTCACTATTTCTCAAAGCATCAACAGGTCCATTCATGCAATTTGTCCTCCTTTAGTTTTGGTGAATCCACCTCGTCACACGCTCACAGATATGAAAACATTGCCGCTGATGCTCCGTCACCATCAAATTGCCTCCTTCCTCCCCATCATGTTGTCTGTGCACCCGCTGGCTGGACGCCATTGATCTTGGAAGCATCTATTTGAATAGACAGACTAATGCACTGGCGGTCATGTTGGTATGCTATTCCTATGTAATATACCATAATATATTCGGTTGTATCATAAAGATGCAGCACCGATTTTGAATTTTGAAGGATATGCATACCACTTGGTGCATGGCAGCATTTGTTTGTGGTCACAAAACCCTCACACAGTTAAAGTTAAATCGGCGAGTGTTAATCTGTGTGCACATGCACTGATTTCAAGGTACACTGTAAATAAGGTTGTAAACACCGAGGGTGCAGCCAAGTATAGGTGTGCATGTGCAGGAGAACTATCTGTTGTGTGTTTTCAGCTGTTAGCAGAATAGCTGTAATCCTTTTTCACTTGGAGTTTGATTTTCTGTCATAGCTACTTCCTGACATGACACTGCATGTCTCCTGCAGACTTTACCCTCACGTGTCGAGTATGTTTGCACAAGTCATGTTAAGACACGGGAACAATTAGCACAATCCCCACCCTTTACATAAGACCTCCTACACTCTGGCTTTCTCTTCTCTTTTCTCTGCTGTCACGGCCTTGATATTTTCAATCAAGCTTGTCAAAATGTAAAGCCTCCAAAAAGTTTATTTCAAGAGCTGTCGGAATGATGGGACATAGTCCAAAGTGTGAGAGCTGAAGGTCAGTGGAGGGACAAACCACACTGCTGTTCACCTTTCACCCAGTCCCTCCACTGAGAGTGTGACTCACTGAGCTCAGCACGTCTGCGTCCACTGGCCTCCAGATACATTCTGTGATAAAACAAGCATATATTATTTAAAGAGGACAGTGTTATTCTAATCATGTGGAAATGCTCAATGCCTAATTACACCGTTGTTTAACTGGTTAAGATCTTTCTTTTTTTTTACCATGTCTGTTTGCTGATTAGTTTTTAATGCTTTCACATGAATGTGGCCTAATCACCATTTTGATTTACAGTAAAACAACTAGTTGAGTTTGTTTCTGTATATTTCTTGTAAAATCCATTATTTTGTGTCCGCCAGGTATTCCCAGAGTTTGTTGGAGATTGTAGACTTCTTAGAGAAGGATCCGGATGATAAGGATGTCCTGACAAAGTAAGTCATTTACAGACGCTTTCTAGTGCATACATATTGCTTCTGTAAACTTTAAAGGCATTCAATTCAAAAATCAGAGCAGCGGGGTGAACAATAATTCTGTAATTACTTGATAACTGCCAAATTTTTAACCTCATGTTGCAAAATTCAGATCAGTCGAGAGTGCGATCAGACTCATGTTCTCGTACCTCATTGTACAGCTTTCTGAAGCTTTCTTTTTCACTCAAATCCCGGCCCTTTTGTTTAGCAGGCATGCCATTCTCACTGATGTGAAGGTATACTAACAAACCCGGTACGCTAACAACCCCTCAAATACTCAAACGACCGTCATGTCTTCGCCCTCAGCTTTACACAGACTCTGGTGCACGTCCGCAATCGGCACAACAACGTGGTGCCCACCATGGCTCAGGGTGTGGTGGAGTACAAGGACGCCTTCGGCGTGGACCCCGTCACCAACCAGAACGTTCAGTACTTCCTGGACCGCTTCTACATGAGCCGCATCTCCACCCGCATGCTCATGAACCAGCACAGTCAGTATAGCACTCTGTCATTGACTGTGAGTTAATCAACACGGTTGCTCACATTCGAAGCTCATGTCCTTAAATCAAACTCGATAAAGTGCCGATAATGTTTACGAGCAGTTTGAAATGTCACAGCGCATTTTGTACTTTGTTTGTGTGATTGTGTCCGATCTCATTTTTAAGATTTAACGCTGTAGAAAAGACACCCAACTTACCATCATAGCTTGTCAGTAGTTTTATTTCACTGAATGATACAACACTTCAAACTGGACATGTGCTTCATATTTGACTTAATATTCACAACATCTAGGGACAGTGAATTGTGTCTATACGTATTTTTAAGTCCCACACACATTTATTGCATTTTGCCCTGTAGCATTAATCTTTGATGGCAGTGTGAACCCAGCCCATCCTAAACATATTGGCAGCATCGACCCCAGCTGTGACGTTGTGGAGGTAATAAAAGGTAATGAATGATTTCCCTCAGCTCCAATACTGCTGTCTATACATACACACACACACACACACACACACACACACTGGATGTGTTATCTTTTATTCATGACTGTTTGACCTTTTATTATTTGATATTTTTAGAGTCAGTACACAAGGTGGGAAGTGAATAGACCCTCATATTAAATTGGAGCTGTCTATTTCTATTTGGAGTATAGTATAGTATTCTGCATGTTAGTGTAAACTGCTTCAAAGACAGAAACCATAATTTCCTCTAATAGTGTTCTCCATCTCTCACGGTGTAAAGTAACCACAGATGATTTATTTTTATTTTTATTTTGCTTTCTAGATGCCTATGAGACGTCAAAGATGCTTTGTGAGCAATATTACCTGACTTCTCCTGACATGGAGATCACAGAAATCAATTGTAAGTCTATCAAAACAACCACAATTTCCCTATTTGCATTCATTAAAAGTTACTCTTGTCTATACTGTATCTTTGTTGTTTCGCCTGCATAGTTTCTGCAGCGGCTGTCTGTGTGAGAGGATAGTTTCACTGGTGTGTTCCTGAACTGAACCTTCTACTATACTATAGTCAATCTTTGTTGGTTCAAGTGAAACCCTTTGTGTCAATGTCCTGTTAGCTGGGTCTGCCAAGAGCTAATGCAGCATCAGACATTCCTCACTTTGAACAATTATCTACAGATGAACCTTAACATTGTATCATGTTCCTCATATATATTGCTTATGCATCTGGGGTTGGAGAGCATTACAAACTGTGGGTTGTATGATTACATGCATAAAAAAAGACTCTTATACTGTATACATTAATAGAATATGTAGTTTATTACAATACACGTGGTAGTTTTTGCTACATCAGTCAGAACATGTACCAGAGCTTTGAATACAAACTGTACACACTTGGCCAGAGTTAATATGTTGTTTTATAAAGCAGGCATTTGTCCCAGAGGTCTGCATTCACCCACTGGTGTGCTTTCCAGTCAGGATGTCTGGGTTTCAGATTTGTCATAGTTTGAATATAGTGCCATCCAGATGATCAGTATTATACATTTTTTTCACAGCCAAGAACCCTGACCAGCCCCTCCACATTGTCTACGTGCCATCCCATCTGTACCATATGCTGTTTGAGCTTTTCAAGGTACAGTACCAAACAAGCCTGAACACCAGACGGATGTTACTCCTCACCGTGTGTCCGCTCACTCATTTTGTCATCGTTTTCTCTGTCAGAACGCCATGAGAGCGACAGTAGAGACCCACGAGATGAGCCTAACGCTGCCCCCGATCAAAGTGCGAGTCTCCCTGGGAACTGAGGACCTCACTATCAAGGTAGATGAGTCAAGATAGACAACTTTAGTACTAGAATCAGTATTGTGCAGGGGGAATAACACAGGGATAAACCAGAGTTCAAATTATACTAACAAACATGTGTTGTTGCACCATTCACTTCCATCAACTATACTACATGTCCATGTGGACCTTGTTAGTATACAAATAAGACTAACCCTTGACTTGATGCACAAAGCATGACACTGTTTAGATTCCATCCAAATGGTAAATGATGGAGAGCCGACAAGTTCGCTGCTGCCAGAACAAGAAGGAGACCCTTGTAAATCCAACATACCTCTCCTTCATTTTTAGATGTCTGACAGAGGAGGGGGAGTCCCTCTGAGGAAGATTGAGCGTCTGTTCAGCTACATGTACTCCACGGCTCCGAGTCCAGTCCACGAGGACAACTCTCGCAATGCACCACTGGTGAGGCTGAACCTGTCTTCGGTGTTGATGAGTGTCTTCGTCAGTACACGGTGTGCTACGAGAATACAAACATTTTAAATTGGGATTAAAAGTCAACCAGATGGTAGATCTCCCTGTTCCAATCACAGACTCACACAACTGAGCATGTTGCAAACTGTAACCGTTAGATAAACTGAAGACCTGTTTACAACACAAACCCTCCACAGTGTACACACTATGTTTTAAATGTGACCCTGTTGTTTTCCCTTCAGGCTGGTTTTGGCTATGGCCTCCCCATCTCTCGTCTGTATGCCAAGTACTTCCAGGGAGACCTGCAGCTCTACTCTATGGAGGGTTACGGCACCTCAGCTGTCATATACTTGAAGGTGAGGACTCCACTACCTCCAAACACACGTCAACAATAACCTTCAAAAGCCTAGTTGGTGTAGAGTTCAAATATGCATGTACTGTCAACAACACAGACTGGATTGACTGAGTGGTAGCAGATGTAAAGTAACTTTGTAAAACATTCCTTGTGCAACTAATGTGTGTCTTGTTGTGAGTTATAAATCAGCTCATGTTCCATGTCAGGAGACCTTTGCTGTCTCTACTTAAACCAGTAAATCAAGCACAGAGTTAACTTTGTAGGAACTGGATCTCACTCTCATTCAGGCAGACGTGTCTGTGTGATAAGGATGCGGACTAACAGGTTGCCTTCTGTTCTGTATCACAGGCTTTGTCCTCAGAGTCAGTGGAGAGACTTCCTGTTTTCAACAAGTCAGCCTTACGGCATTACCAGACGAGCATAGAGGCTGACGACTGGTGCATGCCCAGCAAGGATCCAAAGAAAATGGGCAATTCCAAGGGGACTCTGTGATGGTGGACGGAAGTCTTACATAGTTTGAATTAATGAATCTTAGAATTAAAAATAAAAGGGTCCATGTTGGAGGAAATGGACAAACTTGTTCTGTAAGTGGGGGAAAGGCACCAAAGGCTTTCAGCATGCTACTGGAGCTGGACTTGTGTACGCAGAATGTCCATTCATTTCTCACAGAGAGAAGCCTAGATGCAGGGAAATGGTCATTGTTGGTGTCAAGAACCAGATAAATGCACCGAAATAACTGAACTGAAATATTACTACCGGCATCAAAACATTTCCATGTAATTGTATGATGATTACGGGCTGCTAATGGAAATGGAAACAAGTATTAATCTTCTTTTGCCACACTCACCTTTCAGTTACAATAACCCAGTTACACTTTGTAAGTAAGCTGTTTGTGTTTATGTCCATTTTTTTTCTTTCAAAGCATATAATTTCACAATTGTAAGACGTAAGGAAGTTTAATTCAATTTTGCATTAGATTAAATAATTATCAAGGCCTAGAAAAACCCATCCAAAGCCAGCTGCAGCTGGGTCATTAGAGTGGGAAAACATTCAACGACTCCAGCATTAACACAAAAGGAGCAAAGTCTGTTCCTCCACTTTTGTACATGTAAGCATTTCAGTCCTTCGTAACTTCCAGCATTGATTCACACAGACAACTACAGCATTTCATTGTGGCTTAGTTCTATTACAGCATTTCAGAGACACTATACGAAGAATTTGCACTGGTTATGTTTGGTGTAAAATCACATCAATGTAAAGTCAATTGTTCCATTTCAGTCTTTTAGCTTCTTTTATATGTGACGTTAACGTGATTGATGGATGTTGAGTTCCACATGGTAAAATAGAGCGTGCCTTTCTGGAGAAGGTTAATGGCTGAAACATAGTATTGCAACATATTTTAAATGAATATATATGGTTGAACTGTGAATATTTGTATTTGAAATGTAAAACTGCCAAATTAACCATGACCTCCACAATAACAATTTTCCTCTGTTGACAGAGAACTGAAATACACACTTTTTAAACTTTATACAAGAAAGTTTTTAGTGTTTTCAAAGAGCAACTGTCTAGAACTGCACATTCATTTGATAATATCAAGTGCTGCGTAATGATGCATGTGTTGTACATTTAAATGACTTACTGTAAAGGGTGTGAAGGTCTGTGGGTTGAATGGTGATCTACAGAGAACTGTATTTGAGCTTTCTGGGATGTCACATACACAGAAAGTTAAGTGTTGCTGTCACACACTGCTATATGCAAGATGTATTGATCAAACAGATATTGCCTTATCTGTATCTAACAATTTCACATATTCCATTGTCCCCATTAGCGGTCATACTTTCAAACATACACTGTACTTCCCAATTATGTCTTTGCCAAGTTTGTAGCATTTAGAATTGAATTGAGAGCTTGTTGATTAAAATATGAACTCACTAACTTCAGATGATTTGTAAACTGTCTCTGCACCAACAGACACTTTGCATTTGATACCGTATAAACAACAATCTGTACCGTGTCGCCACAGTAGAAGGACCAGTGAAGATAGAAAATAAAAATCTCACTTCTCAACACGTGACTAGAGATTCTGCTGTTTATAGGGTGTAAAGCACGCAGCATTGTGTGCCACTGCTCTGTGCAACATCGCAGGAAGTTGTTGCATGCTCATTGTCCCCCTGACTCCCCTCTTCTGTCCCCACAGTTTGTTTTAGGAAACTTTGCTCTGTTTGTGTGTCACCATCCCGGACACAGTTCAGTGGCTTTTTCCGTGACCAGCTGCCAATAGGGGTTTGAGAACAGGCTGTCCTGCCCCGTCATTAGTGTGCCCACATGCCACACTCTACTCTGGGTTTGTGCCTTTTCTCTGCTTGTCTCTCTGAATTCTGTTTTCCAGTTCATTCAGGTATGATTACAAACACAGCATTATGCAAGCTCATTCTCAAAGATAAGAGCAAAGAAAAAGAGATTACTGCAATGTCAGAATCACCACTGCATTCAAGTTAAGTTAAAAGCCAATTTCCCACTTCCCGTTATTATGTATTTTTATTATTATTAATACATGATTTAAGAATATAGGCTCTCTCTGCCTGACTTTTACTGGTCTATTTTAAGAGTACAGGGAACCAGGCCTGACACTTCAGTCATCCAGACAATGTTCCCTCCAAAGAAGATGTCTGGTACACATGCCGACTGACAGAGCTCAGCTACACCTGTTTACATGTATGACCTATGGACTGCCATAGGTTTGGTTATAATAACACTGGCACATCAAAAGAACAAGCAACTGTTGTAAGATGGTGAGGTCACTGATATGACACTGGCCTCCTTTACCCGGATTGTTGAAAGAATGTGGAAACTGGAAATTCAATTCCTATCATTCTCCAAAATGTTTGCATGAAAAAAAAACGATATCTTTGTCTTAGTTATTCCTTTATAGTAACAATCTAAAATGTATGTCTGCTATGTGTGCACTGTATCATTGGAGAGGAAGAAAAAGCTCCGGTTCCTTTCTCCCCATTCTCCTCTTCAACAAAAACACCATACGATAGATCAGCAGGGCTTCTCTCTCCAGGCAGCAGCCTCAGTCGCATGAGTGCTTTCCTCTAATATACACTGATATTATCTCCCCATGTCAAATTAGACTTTACACCTTGATAAAATAGACCGAGATGCTCACACCATTACAGCATGCTGTTGTGAATGGGCTGATTAGCGCAGGTCACAATTTAAGGTTTATCTGAGACTTTTTAAAGTACTTTAGTGGTCTTCCTTTAATCTAGAAGTCGGGATGGAAAAAAAAGTTTGTTGAGTTAAGGTGGAGATTTTTATAAAACTTGACAAGATTATTAAAGGTTCTCTATACCAAACTCAGAGCATATCTAGAGCCTCCACGTGGTTCACAACATAGCGAAGGCTGAGCCGGCAGCTTGCAACTAACAGTGGTAACAAAGGCAACAGTGCTGACAGAGCTAACTGTGTTTACCTGTAGGGGGGATCAGAAATGTGTGCACTACTAAAGCAGTGCAGAGCAGCAACCGTGAGCTAACCAGTGGAGCACGCTCACATGTACCAACATGCACTAAAAATAACACGCAGCCTATGTCAACAAAGAACAGAGAAGCTCGGTTAACAACACACACACACGGGAGGAGAGCGACTTCATTCTCTGCTCAGGCAGACATTACTCCACTACATCTTCACATAGCAAATAGTTTACTGTCAATGCTCCGGATATCAAATTTAGCATCTTTAAGTTACCAGCACTGTTTTTGCAGAGTGGCCTCTGTTTAGAGAGAGTTGAGAGAATTATTTTTTTTTTTTTCTGGCTAACAAAAACGGTCTCATATACATCATATACTTCATGTGCAGTCTACTGGAAGAAACAAGCACTTGTTGTGGAGGGCTTTGTCAAGTGTTTGTACAGCAAATAAAGGGGTATCGCGAGAGCATTAGCCCGAGAGTGAGCATTAAGGCTGGTTGCCAGGTAGATATGGATCCTCTGAAGTATGTGGCAACACTGTGATAGAGAGACAAGACTAATTGTATTTACTGACACTCATGCCACCATCAAAGAAACCAGTACCTCCACTGATACACATAATGGAAGGATTACAGAAAGAGAAGTTGTGGAGATTGACGGTGCTTCCATGTGACCCAGTGGACAAAAATCCTCACTTGTCCATCACTATAAATGATTATTACTATCGTAATTATCACAACAATTTTTATCAGTGGATTGCTATTTCCTCAACTGTCCCTCAAATCTCTGTGTATGTCTGGATTAATAGTGAATTAATTCTCTCACGTGCAGCCTCAAACCACCATCTATAAATCAGTTTTAATGGTAGTCATGTGATTAAAGTTCTACTCCAGCAAAGACAAGTTGCATGTAGTTTCTTCTGTACTGTCAAAGAGGGATTTCTGTATGTTCCAGACAAAATCCTCTTGGAATGATAAGCAAAAATATAAAAGAGACACCTGTTAGTACCAGCTCCAAATAGCAGGCTTTTCGCTTTCCATAGTCAGCAGACAGGAAGATGTTTCTATTAAAACTGTCAGGTGACAGGCTTCATCAGTACAGTATCCCCTCAGGTTCCAGTAGTAAATATTGCTTCATGGGAGATGGCAGAGGCAGCTGTGCTACACCTCTGTGGCAGAACCCACCCAGGCTGGCTCTGATGGCACATCTGGTCAGGTGAAGCAGGCTCCGAGGAGAGTTGGTGCAAACAGCAAACAAAGAGTCGTAGAAGTCTTTGTGTCGCTGAGTGAGCAAAAGAAAAACAGGTAAAGATTTTACATCTTATCAGGATTGTAAATCATTTATAAAACCCCACCTTTCAAAACAAAACAATTGATCTCTTTACACAGCTTCTTAGGCTCTGGCCTACTTGTTTTTTAGTTTTTAACCAAGAGAGTAATGTTAATCTTACTCACTGAACACATACTGCATACTAATCATGTACAGTTTATCATTGTACTACCTTGTAGCAGTCATCAGGAATGGCAGCTCTCCACTTATTTGTGGGCTTTATGCGTTCATAAGAGTTGATCATGATTTCTACGGCTCCGGGATAGTCGTAGCAGGTCTGCAACACCTGCACAAAACAGCACACAACATTTTATTATACTGCACAAGAATCTTCATAATGTGCAAAATATTTTCTAAAAACACAAGTCTCCATCTCTGTACCTTGTGGAACTGGGGTGGGTAGATCCGTGCTGCGTTATGGTTGAGCAGCAGCTGATAGCAGAGCTCAGGTATGGCAAAGGGCCTGACATCAGTCACTTTGAGGACATATTGAATAGGGGCACAGCCATTGATGTCCATGGCTCTGGTGTCAGCTCCGGCCTCCAGCAGCATCTGCATCAGGACGTGATCACAGTTCCAGGCTGCCTTGTGAAGAGCTGTTTTATTGTCCTCTTCTCTGAGGTTGGGATCTTGGAGAGAAGGAAAATGTTGTTGAAAACAAAACTCAAAGCATTCCCTGGATGGTACACAATGTCAATATAAGTACAAAAGTCCCAAAAACTGACCAGCCTGGTGATCCAACAAGAGGCGACAGACAAGATGATGATCTTGGCTGTAGGTTTGCTCTTTAGAGTCAAAAGACCAGAAGCACGCAGTCATCAGGGGCGTCTCCTGGAGAGAGTTGACTGCATTCACAGATGCTCCGTGGGCCAAGTAGAGAGCGATCAGCTCTGGGATGCCGAATCGGGCTGCTGTGTGTAAAGGTGTGTCCTCCTCATTGTTTTGGCTGGGCATATCTACATTAGCACCTCCATGGGGGGAAAAACCAATGGTTATTTTGTATCACTTTCATTAATCTGCTAATATCCATTCATCCTTCCCTCCTGACCTTTGAGGATAAGCTGCTTGGCACAGTCCACAGACTCCCTGGTGATGCAGTATTGCAGGGGGGTGTGTCCGCTCAGCGACAGGCTGTTGACTTTTGCCCTGTGAGCCAAGAGCAAGGCGACACAGTCACCGTTGGAGACCTCGCAGGCCACATGCAGCGGCGTCTTCCCATTGGGCGTCTGGTTTATGGCGGCACCTTCTTGAAGAAGCACCAGTGCTGTTTCCACAGCATTGCACATCACGCATACATGAATACCCATCGCCCAGGACCTCTCCAGTTTGTAGCCTGGGAGCCAGTAACCTGTAGCAAATAAGACAACTAACTACTTAATCATTCAGGATCCCAGTGGCTACTGGGGCCCGACAGGAACACAATATTTCCGGTCAAACGGAGAACTGTTACTGTATGGTTATTTCACAGATTTCTGTTTGTGCCGTTTCCTCTGTTCTTTTCTTACTGGTTTGAAATATTGGGGCTTCACTTAGAAATAATAACATTAATTAAGAATGTTTTTTTTCTTCTTACAAACTTTTAATTTTGATTGTTGTAGTTTGTCATGAACGTTCAAGGTTATAGAGAAATACTTGGAAAAATGTTTTCAGGAGCTGTACAAGTACGGGTCAAAGGTGCTTGTACTCTGACTCACACTAGATTTACATCTCATAATGGCTTTGTTCTTTTATTGCATTACGTTTAATCCCCAGGAGCCTGAGCACGTTATTGTAATTCAGCTAGTGTCGAGTGTTTGTCATTGCCAGTTTTAGGATGAATGGGGATTTAACACCACCTACTGGAAAAACTACAGAATGTGTTTACAATCTATTTTTCTAACTTAATGCTTTGTTAAAACTATGATGTCTCACAATCTTGTTTATTCTGGATTCTCACATGATAACTCATATTTCAGGGCTTTAGTGCTTGATATAGTCTGACAAACATAGAGTATATCAGCGTTGATTTTATTGCTGCTGGTGAAATGTGGCTCAATCTCTTTCTACTTTCTCCGTACCTCGTTTGTATGAGGCCAGCACCATGCTGGGGTCCTCCACCTCTAGCACAGTGTCAATGTCTAGCTTCCCAGTGTGCAGAATCTGCATGACCTCTTGGGCGTCGTTCGCCTGCAGGGCCTCCAAGAACTGTCGCTTCAGCTGTTTGACAGCCAGTTGTGTGGGGCTCAACTCCTCCATAAACTCTGTGAAAGAAGGGCCTCGCTCCTCGTATGGCACTGGCGAACCAGCCGGCTCTGACACTAACGCTCTCCACACAGCATGGAGGAGATTGCAAATAAACACACAAATAATAATAAAGGTGTCAATCATACCCACACTCCGAAAACCCAGCCATCAGATATGGGAGGGGTGTGAGCAAGAATATGAAGAGGGTCAACAAGTGACAGGAGGGAGCCGACAGCGAGGAAAAAATAGGCCTGAAGTGAAATTAGGCTGAATATAAATAGAAAGGAGAGAGGGAGGTACTGGAAAGCTACAGCTGACTGGCTGTTCTGGAGTCAGTCTGTGGAGATGTCCACTAAGAGAAAGGCATCAGGCAGCGGATGGTCACATGGTAAAAACAGCAGGCCGTAGGGACGGCAAACAAATCAGCTTGTTCTCTTCTATTGTTTCTTTACATGACTATCAGGTTTCCCATGATATTCTAGACAGAGAAGAATGAAAAAAATGTACAATCATATACAGTCATAACATGCTTTTTGCAAACAGTTTTGCTGCATGGGGCAGAGATTTCTGTCCCTAGCTAGCAAATGACCACTAAAAACTATGTGTAGGAAGTCAGACAAATGGTGGAAAAAAAGAAGAAACAAAAGCAGACTATGGACAGTGACTGCACATTTTATTCATTGTGACGGGTAGCTGCCCTTTCAAACTTTTCAGGATGCGAAAAAGAGAGCACGGTAATGACAAAAGAAAAGGAGGAGGACAGTAAGCAGCGCAGCTTTTTAAAAGAGTGAAAGCACGGCTAGCAGTTTGTGGTGATTATCTTTTGGTCTCTTAATACATGAAAGACAAACCCTTCCGGACATGACTCAAACGCCTGCCAGGAGCACCAGGGTCTCATCCATACGTTGGTTTCATCATGCCAGGCAAGCTCAGTCAAGCACAAAAGAAAAGATCCGGGAAACACATTTTGGCCTGACCTTTAAGCTCCTCAGCCCTCAGACAAACTGTGCACACATACTGTCACGATAGAAAACAAGGCTTCTTTAGGATTCGTTCAGCATATTGCTCTCAGTGTTTTACTATACATACAAAAGAGTCAAAAGAGTGCAGTCGGCGGACTGAGTTGACGGGGCTGGGGTGGGGGGAGGGGGGGGGGGGGGGTATTCACAGAAAGGTTCAAGTGTTAAAAAATATTCCATAAGAACACATCATGAGCAGTTTATTGAAGTTGCACTGGAGCAGCGCTGTGGTTATTTTAGAGGAAAACAACAAGCACGGTGGGGGAGTATTTTCAAACTTTAAATCCTTCATTTGATAAAAAAACATTTGAATCTAAATCACTTTTAATGAAATGTATTGTTTTGGCAATAGTTAGTAATCATACAATTCTGGATAAATCATTGTTAGGTGTTAATAATACTCGCATTTTGAATAATTTATCATGAACAGTCGTCAGTTGCTTTCATTAAATACAGAAATAAATAAATAATAACATTAGTACATCAGTGATACCTGTATTACTGTGGGATTGCATGGAGGTATCTGTAACCCTTACTATATTTCTTGCTCTTAACCAGTCAACAGTACACCAGGCAGGGCCTTTCAGACAAAAGGGAATTATAACCAAAGCTGCCTTCATTTTGATCACGGTGACACTGGTGTCTCTATATTTACTGTAAACCTACGGAACGATTCTCGAGGAATGCTAAAAGAAGTAACACAGGGAACATGTCTCTCAGTGAGCGTCATAATCCTAAAACAAGGATTGCGTAAAGTACACATGTCAAAACAATTTCAAAAAGGTATATTTCTTTTATATCTAACAAGTAAATCAACATGTTTCAAGTCTTACCGAACCAGTTTCATAGGAAAATTAAAACTAAATTGCATCTATCAGGTACAATTTCCAGTGTAGCATCAGTAGTATCAGGCGTTATCATCTTTGAGACAATTTCTGGACTCACTGCATCTGTCCTCCATCACAGAGATGACTTGTCTATATGGCAACATTCCCAAATATTTTTCAGAATTAAAGTAATTTGCAAGGTGAACTTTGTCCTGTAATTGTACGAAAGAAAAGAAAATAACAATTATAAATCTTTATTTAGTCTACTGTATACGCTTGGACACTCACACTGAAGCGGGTAGAGTTCAGAAAACTATTCTAACTATTCTAGAAGTTCTACAGGCAGTGGCGGGGTATTACTTTGTTATTGAGAGAGAATACAAAAAGAGGTCAAAAGCAGGTTACGAGCCGTGTCGAAGCAACATTATGCATCTAAGCAGGAAGTTTCATTTTACCATTTTTTGTTTTGTTTTTGTGGTACAGGATTGGTTAGTTACAAATTTCATGATTACATTGTACCTGAAGTCTCCATCAGAACCAGTCCAATGAGTTACAGTATGTCCTTGTCGTCATTCATACTTTGTGAACTGCTTTAGTATGGTACATGTATACTGTAGGGAGCATTGGACAAGCCAGTGCAGAGGTTCAATTTACAGTATATGCACTTCCAGTGTACTGAGAGAGTTTTTTTCTCCCTATTAAACTTGGTTCCTGCTTCAGCTCCTATTGGAAAGTTCCAGTGTTGCCTCCTCCAGTGGTGAAAGTAAGCAGCATGGGGACACCCAGTGGTGGGAGATGAATACTGCCTCATTTATTCCCCCTCACAGGCCTGACCTGTATGAGCTTTGTCAAAGCAAGAGAGCAATTTCACTGAGCTATGTATCTGAACAGGATATACATAAGTCTATTGAAATGGCACAGCAGACAAATCTGTATTATCACTCGACATGATCGTCTACGGGAGCTTTTATGGGTAACACAGACGGCTCTAAAGATGATCTGGGATGAGGATGAGATAAACTTTTCACAGACTTTTTCTAGCTATGAATAAATAAACCTAATTTACAGCAATAAACAGCTAAATAAATAGAGCTGAGTAAATCTTAAATGGCCAAAAAACTCAGGATGGGAGTAAAATGAGGCAACTGAACGGGGCAGGATCCTATTATCCAACGGCTTGTTTTGGTTTAATTTGCTTGGTGGAAAAGTCACTCAACAGTCTCCGACAGTTGGGTGTGTGGCTCCACCAGCGAGAACTATTAAACTACTGAGCAGGCGTCCCTCAGGGTTCATTTGTGGGACCTGACGCTCTGTTCCTCGAGACGCTACTTGGTGTGGTGCTACAGTAAAGCGGGAGGTCGGAGATCTAACAATTCACTTCACTCTGCCGTGCTTTCTTTGTGCGCCTCTTTCTGCTGCTGCTCAAGCTCTCGCTTCCGTAGCTTCTCGCGTTGTTTCTCCACTTTCTCTCGGTTCCTCTTGGCCTTCTCCATCAGAACTTTAAGGTCTTTGATCTTTTTCTTGATCAGGGCACGGTCCTGAGAAGAAGAAACTCCAAGGGCCTGAAACAAATAAACCCCCATAAGTATCTTTCCTATTTTCCACCTCATAGTCTATGATATGACCGTTTTTTTAAAGGATCACTTACATTTATTTTGTGACATCTTACAGTTGAAGAATAAACATTGCTCTCTCCATGTAACCATGTAATGGCAGCACTGTTTCTAAATCCCCCCCAAACATATGTTTGGCATTGCTATACTGCAATTTCTTGCACTCATTGGCTGACATGTGTACTGATATATCTGTGTTCTTTAATATACAGTATATACGGTATATACAGTATATATATATATGTGTATGTGAGCATGTATGAATCACTTTGAACTTACCTTGAGCTCAGCACTCTCCAGCTGTAGCAGCTGTTCTCCATCTATGTTTTTGGCAGTGAATTCTGGGATGTGGTGTTCTAAGTTGAGGCCCAGTAGCCAGCGGGCCACTTGCTGGGAGGTCCACTCAGTGATGCTGCAGTTCTGCCAGTGATACGGCTTCTGAGACTGTCCCTCGTCTAGGATCTGAACACATACAACAGGAAGAGAGACAGACAGGGAAAAAGAGGCAGATAAGATGCAAATCTTTCCAACTCGAACATACAGTAACATAATGTTTAATGAATGCTTAATGAGCTCAGATGAAATCAACGACACATTCAAGACATTTCCCAAGTAACTGTATTCTGTAGCAACACATACTACTTTGTGGGAAAATCCTTCATCACCATGAATGATGTGTGGGAATGAAACACAGACAAATGGCTTTTACGCAACAGACACATAAAGACATGTATGCAGTTGAACACAGGTCTCACCTCATCGTCTATCATATCCAGACTCTGAATGTGGCAGCATTGAAATAAACAGAAGACGACTGGGTTGTTAACAGGGAAATCAATATAGCTTACACTATAACAGCCTTGGACCAGCATTTGAATACAATGGGCCAGAAATGGTGCATTTTAAATGTTCATTTTGTAAGCTTGTATTTAGGGGGTGTTCCCTTGATGTGGTGAAATCATTCGCAGGTATATTGTTTGTTTAACCGTTCAGATAATTCATCTCATCTAGCAAACTACCATCACCTCATCCGACTTCCATTAATAAGACAATATTTCAAGTTCGTATGTTTACCTCATCTGAGGAGAGCACCAGTGTGTGTGAGCGTCCCGACATCTTGGCTTCACTCAGCAGGCCGCTGATCTCCACTGAGCTGCTGCTGCTGGCACTCAGATCATCGTTCAGAGTGGGTGCCTGAGAAATCAAAAACACACTTATAAGACTGGTGGTTAAGAGCCAACTGGCTCTGAGGCTGAGTTTAGTTGATTAGATGGAGGGCTTCTCTATTTCTATTTCTTAAACAGAGAGACTGGATGAGGAGTGAACACATCAGAAGGATTAAGACTTTTGCTTTGAGCACGTACCAGAATGATCTATGTGCTTCTTCCTAATATTTGATGGTCAGTAAAAAGTACATTCAATAATGTATTTATGCTGTTTGATAGACTGCAGGACATCAGGGTTGTGCACATCCCTCATTTTTAAGACATTCCATTATAGCACAAACTGAGTGGTTGGAGATGATGTAGCTGGATGCTATCCAATTAAAAAAAATCTCTCTCTCTCTGTGTCCTTGTGAGTGTGCCAGAGTGTGGACATTTATGGAGTTACAGTATTAAGATCCAAGATCTGTGCACAAACATGCAAAGACAAGCTGCTGCTGAGAAATACGGAGTAAAAGGAGGAGAAAAACTAATGTTAATATACAGTATAGAGCAATAGTTGTTCTTACAGGCCTCCCTTTCTCCTCCTGGAATATACAGTATTTACATTGGTCCCTGAATAAAAGACTTATGTATTGAGTGTCAAAGACAAAGTGTAACATTACATATATATATAAGATTTCGAGTTAAGGTCTAGAATTTCATCTTACATGCAGCTTCATACTGTAGCTCAAAGAGTTCTGTCTGAGGTAAAAGCGAAACTAATCTTAGACTTTCAGCTCTTTGGGCTGAATCCTCACTTAAAAGCTCCTCGTAACTATTAATGTGAATACATTCTGCGTTGATTTATCTTCTGATGTGCACTCCTCTCAAGCTAAGAACATGTCCTTGGAGAGAGAAATGGATTTGATTGGTGCAGGATCAAAAATAATCTCCTTTTTAATCCTACGGTAACCACATCGGATATTACACAGGATTAGAAACAGTTTTCATTCAAGTTCCTACACTGCAACGAATGCCCATGTTAACAACTTTAATCTTATTGTGTCAGTACGGCATCTAACTGATTGAATGTGCATTATGAAACAGAACGATTTACTAAATTGTGATTTAATACTTAAAAACAGATCACACGATTGCTAAAATGGACATTTTTTACAGTGTCGTGGAAGGCATAGTTAAGATTATTAAAGGATTATTGTTATTTAGGATTATGTAGGAATACTCATTGATTTTCTTGGAATTATTAATGCAATTACGCATGTTTTGAAGTACCCTAATTCTCTTTATGATAAACCACCTCTTAAAGCACAAACTCATTTCCATTTCAGTGGATTGAGGTATAATTGAACCAAACACAAAACAATACAATACCAAGAAATATGAATAGGAGAAGAAGTGGGGCGATGTAAGGGAGGTCTGTTCAACAGAAATAACACAACAAACATCAAAGCTAAATGGCAAGAAAACTTGTCATCAAACTTACAGTATGAAGGTCTACATATACAGGTCTGGCAAAAAGTCTGCTCTGACTCAACTTATAATTACATTAAAACAAAGTCCTCACTGTAAAGTATCTGTAAAGTGAATCATTATTTACAGTCACCAAACCTCATGTACCTTGGCCTTGAGTTTCTCTGAACTGTCCTCTGCTGACGTCTCTGTGGAGCTGAGAGACAGAGAGGAAAATGATGCAGAGGTCAGTGGAGACGATTACTGCACCACACATTCATAAACAGTTTCTGGACTTCCATTTCTAATAACATCAAGAAGGAGTTGTCCAGTCCTGTGCACTAAATAGTTTGTGTATATTCTGTACACTCATCTTCTCAAGTTAAATTTCCTCATCACTGGGACCACTTTGACCACATCAATCCTTTAAAATAAGCTTTACAGGGAAAGAAAATCACTTTGAGTACCAAATAATCACAAAATATGACAAATGAATGTTAGTTGGTATGTGTAGAACTCAAAATGAAAACATGGCATTCCAGTATTTAATCTTACCCAGTATCCGGAGCTTGTCTGTGTTCCTCCACACAGTGAGAGGGGCTTGACATCGCAGGAGACTGAGAACCTGAGATCACAAACGCCCCACACTGAGATTACTCCTACTTCAAGTGATGAGTAGATACAGTTTCAGATATATTAGTGACCCTTCGATCCTTCATTATGGTATGTGCTGTAGTGAGGGTGCAGGAGTGCTAACCTGCAGTGGACGGCCGGTGCAGTGTTCGTCTGGGGGAGCTTTCTGCGCTGCCAGGGGCCCCGAGGACTGCAGCTGCTCCATCACAAGAGGCCACACTACGAATCGAACCAGGCCGACTGCGGGCTGGACTGCCGTGTCCTTCTGAGACCTGAAGCCAGACGTAAAGGGACAAAAAGGAAACAAGAAATGAAGCAAATGAGGAGTGGGAAGTGAGATAAGACCAGAAGATGTGAGACAGGAAATGCAGAGAAGAAGAATTGCGATGGAAAGAAAATGAATGACAAATTTAAAGGGAAGAAAAGCAAAGGCTCAGCAAATGAACACAGAAAAAAGGAATAATAAAGTGCAATCAAAGTAAAAGTGATGTGAACAGCCAAATGCGGAAGACTAATCTGAAAGAAGTCACTTGACATACTTTCAACATTTCTAATTCCTCGCCCTCTTTACCCCTGGAAGCCTCACACTGCCTGGTTTCTGTGTTCCTGCCAATTCTGATCCTGCTCTCGAAGTTGTTCATCCAATCTAAATCCATGCCTGCTCTAGCTGAGTTAAGTGACGGCATTAGCCAGACGAGAGCCTTTCTTCCAGAAAAAGACTATTATCACACGCCGGGGAGAGACAGTAAGTTGTGACAGCGCCACAGTCTCAATTAGTGCCGCAGAGCAACATGTAGCCATTAATTCATTAAAGGAATAGAGCGGAATGGACAGCGGTTAACAACAAACACAGAGGATGATGAACACACACATATTAATTAAATAAACACATATTAATTGTAAGAATAGTCAAATGAACACGTATCTGGTCGATATTTCAACAGATGTTGTTCAATAGCAAATCTGTTGGTCACTGAAAAAGAGATTTTAATACAAACCTCTCCCTCTGCAGAGCTGATGCTGTCTCGGCCGATTCCACCGTAGCTCTTCTTTTTGCTGGGTGAATGAGGAGAGGCCTGCCTCAGATCTAGAGTCACACACACACACACACACATATATATATATATATATATACACACACACACACACACACGCACACACACACAAAGAGTGAAAACAACTGTGATTTAGCTTAAGTAAAAAGAAATATACCGTATAATCCATTTGTTCACTAATTGTTGGGTTTTCTTTTGTTTCAGATTTATTAAGGGACACTTAATTTGACCTGACATCCCCATTAAATGAACTAAAAAAAAAAAAAAAAACATCAACGCAGTTAAAATATCAAGTCTTTCACAAACAGTAACACCATTAATTAGGCAGGCAATTATAATGTTTCTGCTCATTTCCTGACTGCACACGGAGAGGCTGTCAGAGCAGAGGAATGAAAAACTGCAATAAATTCAATTTAAAAGATCAATTCAGCAGATTCCGTCTGCTCCTCCCACATGCTCTCTCTCTTTCCTTTATGTCCTGATCCATCCGTCTCCGTCAGTCCACCCTGTTTAATATTGCATAATGGGCTGCGTCACTCGGATCAGTGCAGATCCAATCACTCTGTTATTCCGTCTGCACCGTACAGTATCATATATTGCACTTATCTGTGCACACAATGTTCTGACAGATGCAGCGACTGAAATAAAGCCGGCGCAGCTTAAAAAGACTTGAGGAGAACACAGCCAGACAGATGAGTTTAAAAGGGATTACGAGTTTGTTTTTGTTTGCAGAGATTCAAAGTGCAACTAGAGTCAGAGTTGAAAGTGTGTGTGAAGGTTAAGGCAGCAGAGGAGGGGAGGATGTGTGAGTAAGAAATCTGTGTGTGTGTATTGCATTTTGTGTGTGTGTGTGTGTGTCTTAGCCACAAGAGAGTCAAATCTTTTCAATGTCCTTCACAGGGCAAGAGATGTCAATAAACCGCAAGGGTTTAAAAAACACGGGTCATCTTCGGGACAAAAACAAAAGAACTAGGTACTTTAAATATAGTTGTTACTATATTTAAACAATGAACGCTAGACCGTATTTTTCAAGACCATGTAACAGAATAGAAACCCTAGTAACCCTTTGCGAGGAGATGGAGATTCATGTGTTCATGTTAACACGTACTCAACTATTTCAGCTGTCACTGCATTCATTAAATGAACATTTCTACATTTTGCTTGCTTGCTGAGTGTTCTATGGTCAAATCAACACTTCTCTCATGCTTGTGCGTTCAATATGAAACTTGAGCGCCCAAAGACTGGGAACAGGGGGAAACAGCTAGCCTGACTCTATTGATATGTTTACGAAAATAATCCACCCACCAGCCCCTCTACAGCTCAATAACGTGTTTAATTTGTTCAGTGGCAAACATGAGAGTGGTATCGATCGTGTCACCCAACTCTATTCTATATTTCCCAACATGTAGAACATTCATTGGAATCCATATCATAACAAAGAACCTGGCTGAGACTTGTCCCCTCACAAACACACCTCTGGCTTGTGCTGCAGCCCTGTTGGGGCTGTGCTGCTGAGCGCCGAGCCTCTCGGCACTGTTGCTGTTGTTGTTGTTGTTGACCTGGATGCCGTTCTGCTTCATCAGCTGCATTAGCTCGGACTCTAATGTTGCAATCTGTAGAGGGAGAGGAACCGATCAATGAGCATCTACTCGTCAAAAAAGCTGCTTTAAAGCACTGAAATAAAGGGCCAACATGATGACGACCACATCATTTATCTTTTGATTCCATTCTTAAATGTGTATATGTGTCTTATGGGTGTTGGTGTAGTGCACATAAAACGCACAAGTAAAGTCAGTTTAGTTAAAGCATCACCCTCTTGTCTTGCTGTTTCCTTAAATTACAGATTATACTGTTTTTCCACCACTCTTGCTTGTGCCACACTTCACCATTCAGCCTTTACAATGCAGTGCAGTGGGAGAATGAACGAATGAATGCTCACTGTGCAGAATAATAGCAGGGGACAGTTGGGTTGACTGCCTACTCAACTGTGGGGCATGGCCTGAGACTTGAGCAGAAAACAACACAACTGTCATGTTTTAGGACTAGGAAAGCGGAAAATCAATACAGAGTTTGACATTGGAACCAACCACAGGCCTCCGGACACCAAGTCCATCTGCCGTCACTGTCTAAGGAGGAAAAAACCTTTACACGTGGCAGAAGTGGCACAGATACCCCTTTAAGCAGTAGTGATGGAGTGATGTTACTGATCTTTTTGATAATGTTGATTACCAGATTTAGATTCAATTTCTCTTAAACATTTACAGCGTATGCTATTAGATAAAAAGTACTGCATAAATAAATGTAATGTTTCATCAAGCACAGAGAACAACTGAAGTGTTTATTAGTTTATTTTAATTTTAGGGTTGTTTGGGGGGCACAGAGCGGCATAAGGGAAAGATGGAGGTGAGAGATAGACAGAGTAGACTTTACAGATGTGGTTTACCCTGACTTGCAGTCCCTGAATCTCAGCCAGGTGAGCTTTCTCAGCCTCCTCCAGCCGCCTCCTCTCTGCATCCTCCTTCTGGATGAAGTCCACCTCTCTGGAGAGACGACAGGGAGAAGAAATCGTAATGTGGTGAGTGGGTGAGAGCTGACAAGATTCAATTACCTGCGTGTGCATGTTTCACCATGAGTGACAGTGCCTGCCTCTCGCATGAGTGTGACTGCTCATAGTGAACACACACAGACACACAACACATATCTACAACCAACGCAATAAAACACACACACACGTTTTCATCCCTAAGAATATTAAATTCAGCCGTTTCCTCTGCTTTGTCCTTGTTCTGTGAGCTCTACGTCTCTCCTCAGCATAGAGAGTTTGTTTCATCAGTTAACTTCCATTTTGGCCTGCAGGGCCAGAGCCAATTAGAGGCAGTCCGACTGGAGCTGAGCAGGAGAGGTTGTGATGGGACTGACCAAAGAGATCAACGTACTGAAAAGCAGGAGAGCTGTGCTGCATGAGAATGGAGGCTCGGCTCATACTAGTGAAATGTATAGAAAGAGGCACTCTGCCTCACAGATGGAAACACGTTACATATTCTCTCTTTCTGTTCAGTGAAACGAGAGAAGCTGTAAAAAGGTCATGGAATGGAAAGATTATAAAGATTATGACTGTGTATTAGGGCCATTGGAGGAAAAAGATAAAACTGAGACGAAACTCTGAAATTTGACTCATAATTTAATAATTTTTACCTCCAATGGCCCTAAGGATTGATACACTGACCTCATTGAAGACATGATTCATGATTCAGACATTTTTGACTGCATTATCGTGCATTAAACTATGACAACCAAAGCAAAAGACTGGTCTGGTCTGAAATCGTAAGATAAAAGAAGACTAAAGAGTCATCAATGGTCAGTTCAGGACAAGCTGCCTGGGATCAAAATCTAAACACGTTAAAGCGATCAAGGAGGCCGTTCACATCAGAACAGAAGGTCCATCTTTGAACATAACCAGGCTTTATGATCTTCCCTCTACATATACATAGAACCACCTGTTATCACATGACCAAACTTGAGTCATGTGATGACAGCTGAGCTATTTTAGGAATATTTTAGGTTGTATAAATGAGGGAATGATATAACCCCCCCCCCTCCCTTCGGAGAACTTTCAGAATGTAATTGGGAAGTTTGGTGTGTGTAAGTGCTTCTGAAATGGAGATTTCTGGCTCAGAGTCTGAGAAAAAAACTAAATTTGAGAAAAAGGCCTTTAAAGATATGTTTTGTAAAATCACGTATATTTTAGATTCACTTCGGGTGAATATGGCAAAAAACATTAGCGAAAATGTATGTTTCAATGTGCAAATGAGGCATTACCTAAATAACTTTTGATGAATTTTGGAGAAATCTACAGATGCAAGTAGACAAAGTAGTACTTTAATACACTGAAATGTGTATTTTAGATGTTTTCTTTCCACTTTTCCGATAGAAGACATGCAAAATAGTCCAAAATCTCAAAATTGATCACTGCATGATAAAATGATATTTTTGCCACTAGTGTCTCGCCTTCATGAATGTAACCAACATTTTCTTAGTTTGCCAACACAGAAAGTACAACAAAGTACAACTGGAGACTTTCTGTGGTACTTCTCGCCATAAAATTAGGAAGTTTTCCATATTCAGAATATATTGCTCCCTCGTTCCATAATCATGGATTAGGATGACCATTTGAAATCCAGGTTTACTCACTTCTGTTGGAAGTCTTTGATGAGCTTCTTGGCCTTGTTGTACTTCTTCTCTAGAGTTTGGTACTGGGCCTGGGCCTCCTTCAGGTGTTCGTTGACCGTGTGGCAGAGGGTCTGCGCTTCGATCCAGTAGCTCTCCAGCTTCAACATCCTCTCCTTGTTCTCCTCGATGCTGGCCTTCAGCTGGCTCTTCTCCTTCTCCCAGCGCTGCTTCTCTCGCTCCACTGACGCCAACTGCACAGGGACAAAAAAACACTTTAGTTACAACATGGGAGCTTTTAACAGAAACGTACATATTACTGACACTGAGTAAGGAATCCTACACAAAAAAATGCGTTTTCGATAAAAGCTTTTCACTTTTACTTTTACCATCTTATACAGTTTGTCTCTCAAAGCAAAGCATTAGTCGATGTATGTTTACCGTCTGCCACTACATGAACACATTGGATGAGATCAAAACACACCAGATTTTCAAAAACTGTGCATGACATCACACAACGCTGATGAAAGGGAAATGCTACAGAACAAGTCTTTTCTTTTTAACAATGTTTGTATTCAGAGTACAAATTGCATGAATTTATTTCTCTGTAAAAGGGGATCTTCTGCTATTCCTAAAATAAAAGCTTGTTGGGCACCGCTTTTCTGATGAATTTAATCACATCAACTCTCAACGCATTAATCTGGGAATTATTTAAATCACACCATTAACATTTGACAGGGCATATCAATTATACACTTCAGATGTGTGTGTATAGGTAAACATACACATATGATACACAGAACTGTTAGAATTAACCAGAAGCTCTACAACGTGCTCTCCCTTTCGTACTTAGTTAATATTTGTAAAGACAAGTAGTGCAGCCTCTTAAAAGAAGCTTAATAACAGTCCTTAAAACATCTATTCTTAAAGCTTTCCCATCGAATCTGAACCCCGGCCCCTCTGTTGTCCTGACACTAGTCCCACATCCTTTTACAAATTATTTGAACTCAGACAAACTTTTCACCCACAACAGCAAAGTTTTAATCTCTTACCTTGTTTTTGAGCTTCTGGATCTCGGCCTCGGTCACTGTGTGTTTGATCTGGAGCTGTTGAGAGCAGAGGCGTAGAAAAGAGAAGATAGGGAAGGGAAGAAAAGAGAGGGCGGTCAGATAATCAAATGCATGGCTGCGCAGGCTCTCTCTGCTGTCGATACAGTGTGACGGACAGAGGCAGCCGACCCTGTCCTTTCCCTGACAGCATCCCAGCTCCAGCACTGACACACACTCTCAGAGGAGAGGAAACACATAGATAGACAGAGAGAGATAAAAAGCTAGACTGTTTTAAAAAGTAATTTAACATAGCATTAATTCTAAATAGCCTTTTTTTTCAAAATGCAATATCTTTCATTTTTTCATGAAGTCTGACACGTGAGATGGACGGAGCAGCAACGGAGTTATGCATGAAAGTTGAGAAGAGCAGTGCTTTACAGACAGACAGACAGAGAGAGATAATGACAGAGCAGAAATTAAAGAGAAGAGGAGATGGAGAGGAAGAAGTAGATATGGAACAAGAGATGTGGAAATGGGAACAAATGAGAACGATAGAGAAAGAAAGAACGTAGGAGGGACAATCAGAGCTATAAGAAACAATACAATTGGAAGCATGTGAGGAGGGCATCTTTTAAGTCCAGTATGAACAGGAGGAATGATTACAGCCACCAGCTGTACATACTGTATGGCCACTTACCATTAGCACAAAGTAACACAGTAAAACACAATCTGTCTGCTTGTTCCAATGCTTAATTGAAGCTTTATGATTGTTATGTTTCTTATGGCTTACCTATTACAACAAATAGGAATATTCTAGATGCATTGGCATTGTTTTAAACACATTTCATCACAGCTCAGCAGGGTATATGTGGTATCTTTCACTTCTCTTGACATCCAGCTCCTTTCCTCAGGCTGTGAGACCCGTAAAAAACGTTCTGCACCCTCCAACGTATAATATAGTTTTTGCTTTTTTGTGTTTTTCTTATGTAACAGAATGGTATGATTAATTAACTGCATTTCGATGCACATTCCTGTTGTATAATGACATGAATGGAACCTTGAACCCGATTCGAATATATTATCTGTGAATTTGAGCAATGTTCGGCCATGCAATGGTCTACAGACATAAACTGTGATAAGTGGTTAAGTGGTCACTCGTGAAATTGCAATTTGGTAAAATGCTTGGAAAATATATGTACAATATAGATAACTTAATTAATTCAGTGCTTGTCAAGATGCTGATTATGTTTTAACCATCTTGCTTTTATTTTACATCTGCTGATGATCAGACCAAGTTTTGTTGAGCATTCATCCACAGTTTGTGTGTGTGTGTGTGTGTGTGTGTGTGTGTGTGTGTGTGTGTG